TGACAGTGGTAATGTATAAAAACAAAAATTTTTTTTTTCATAATTCTGATTTATTTATTTAATTATTTATCATTTATTATATAATTTTTTATATGATTTAGGTCAAAACGAAACATATTTCGATTGAAATTTTATTTAACTTGCTGTTCACAATGCACTTGTTGCATGTATATTCAATTTCTTAATAAAAATGCTTTTTTTGTTGGAAATAAGCATCCGATTTTTTTGACGTGTTTTTTAATTCACGGAGGGTTTCATTGTAATATACTTTTTAAAAATTCAAATACTTGCTTATTCTCGGGTTACAGAATAAAGCAGTATCAAATGAAAGAATGTCTGGTGTTTTTAGGGATGGCTTGGGAATGATGTTTAGTATTTATCTGTCGATATAAATCAATAGACGGTTGTGTTGGCAGTATTAAACATAAACAAACATGAAGCAAGCAACAAGTATCTGGCAAAGAATATTTTAAGATTGGTTTGGAATGAGAAATTGAATTGATTTAGTGGCAAATGTTAAATTGGGAGTTATGAAAGTCCCTACCACAAGTTCATGTTCATTGTAAAAGCAAAAAGATTTTAACAATTTAAATATATTTGATTTTTGGTAATTTCAAATAAATCAAGTTTCTATACTATCAGATATAGTTAAATAATGATTTTGATTTTTTTTACAACAAAAAATAAATAAACTTATTCCTAAAATAAGTAAAACTATTGAAATTGTAATTGCTACTATTAAAACCGTATTAGTTGGTTTTGTTTGAATGGGATTTGTTGGAATAGGAATAAATTCATTAATCCACATGTAATTAAATTTATCACTTGTATCCAAAATATATACTTCATTCATTTCAAGTGATGGCAGATAAATATTATTTCTTCCAAAAAATACAATCATATACTTGTCAACTAGAACAGCCGAATGATACATACGTGGGAAAGGTGAAATAGTAGAAACATTTGCTCTTGACCAGGTAAAAATATTACTTGTTGTATCTAATATTACAAGATCATCTGAAACTGGAGTTAATGTGGTTCGACTAATATAACCTCCGTATACAATAATACGACCATCATTTGCTATATACAGTATATTTTTAAAAGAAAAATTAATATAAATTTATTTATAAAAAAATTAAAATAATTTTAAAAAGAATTATTATTACTTAAAACAGAAGAATGGCCACCTCGAGATGTAGGCAAATAGCCAGCAGCAGTCTAAAATAAATAACAATAAATAAATTTTGAAAAGCTTGAATCAATTAAATTTTCAGTAACGGGACTTACTGTAGTATTCCACTTATTATCATTTATATTATATAAAATTATCTGTTTTAGAAAATGAAAGATGGTCACATGATTTTGTTTTAAGTAATAATAATTCTTTTTAAAATTATTTTAATTTATAAATAAATTTATATTAATTTTTCTTTTAAAAATTGAAAGATGGTCACATGATTTTGTTTATTTTGTCATGATTTATTTCATTATTACCTTTGACATCGATACTAGTGAACCATAAGAATCAATACCTCCTATATAAGCAATGTTACCATTTGGTAATAAAGTGACAGTATAACCAATCATTCCATCTATGTAATAATTATAATTATAAACAACTCTCCATGTTAATGTTATTGTATCCAAAATATCAATTCTCGGATGTTCATAGCGTTCAATATCAGGAAATATATACATTTTTCCAGTCTTTAAGTCACAAACAGAATGACTAAATTCATTATAAGGTGGATTGGTAGTT